CAATGGTTGCAGCGATGACAATGGTTGCAGTGATGACAATGGTTGCAATGATGACAATGGTTGCAGTGATGACAATGGTTCGAATGATGACAATGTTTGCAGCGATGACAATGGTTGCAATGATGACAATGGTTGCAGTGATGACAATGGTTGCAGCGATGACAATGGTTGCAGCGATGACAATGGTTGCAGCGATGACAATGGTTGCAGTGATGACAATGGCTGCAGCGATGACAATGGTTGCAGTGATGACAATGGTTGCAGCGATGACAATGGTTGCAGTGATGACAATGGTTGCAATGATGACAATGGTTGCAGTGATGACAATGGTTCGAATGATGACAATGTTTGCAGCGATGACAATGGTTGCAGTGATGACAATGGTTGCAGTCATGACAATGGTTGCAGCGATGACAATGGTTGCAGTGATGACAATGGTTGCAGTGATGACAATGGTTGCAGTGATGACAATGGTTGGAGTGATGACAATGGTTGCAGTGATGACAATGGTTGGAGTGATGACAATGGTTGCAGTGATGACAATGGTTGCAGTGATGACAATGGTTGCAGCGATGACAATGGTTGCAGTGATGACAATGGTTGCAGTGATGACAATGGTTGCAGTGATGACAATGGTTGGAGTGATGACAATGGTTGCAGTGATGACAATGGTTGCAGTGATGACAATGGGTGCAGCGATGACAATGGTTGCAGTGATGACAATGGTTGCAGCGTGTGACAATGGTTGCAGTGATGACAATGGTTGCAGTGATGACAATGGTTGCAGCGTGTGACAATGCTTGCAGTGATGACAATGGTTGCAGTGATGACAATGGTTGCAGTGTGTGACAATGCTTGCAGTGATGACAATGGTTGCAGTGATGACAATGGTTGCAGCGATGACAATGGTTGCAGTGATGACAATGGTTGCAGCGATGACAATGGTTGGTGTGGACCTTCGAAGGACAAGGATCACCGCGGTGGCGACGAAATGCCATCTCGCTTGCCTCGTACCCAGCAAGCGTGGGTTCGATCCCAGACCGTGGCGATGCATGTCGTTGTATATTTGGAGTCTGCGTCTTCTCTCTGTCTCTCTCCCCGTGGTGGTCCCAGCGAGGATTGTTCCTCCGGGTTACTCCGTCGGGTTTTCCGCACCCTCCTCCACATAGAGAATCACCACGCGGTCACATCAATTGGCTGCTGATGCTGATGACGATATCAGCCAATGCGGTATCGTCGTCACGTGTGCAGGCAGCTCGCTCCTTCCCGAAACAAGAGAGTTCACAACTGCAGTGGGCTTTTTTTTTTTTTTGAACCCGGTAAGATAACAAAATAAGATTCGTCTTAAGTTAGCAGTTAGTGAGTGAGTAAAATTCGTGATCGCGTGCGCCCTGGGTGTCGGCAGCTCGTCGCTGCGGGAGGTTTGCGCGGTTCGAAACTTCCAGCGCCCGCCCTGGTTAATACTCGCTGCGGTGTACGCTCCAACCGTGACAACGACAGTCATTTAACACGTAGTGGTCGTAGTAGTTAGGCATTCGCGACCAATATTATTCGTAATCACGGTTTTTTGTTTGGGGGGGGGGGGGGGGGTGGGTGGGTTAGATCGCGTAAATGTGTCGTACACTGGTTTAATATCCCATCAGTCCCGACTCAGGGTCTCCGACGTGGCCACTGTGCACCTGCTGATGGTCCGGATACCCAGTAGCAGGACTCAAACTCAGGCCGTGCCCTTACTGCAGACCGCAACATCTCCTCCGCTTAGCCACCGGGAAGAACTTCCGTCTCGAGCAAAGCAGTCTTAGGCGCGTGTCCATGGGCCTGTCGGTAAAGTCACGTACAGTAGATAGGGTTGTTTTTTTGGGGGGGGGGGGGGGGTATTTTCTTTGAACCTATCGACGCGACTTTACCGAATGACCCAAAGAATATGAATTCCTGCAGTCACGAAAGCTTCAAGTCAAGATCTTAGTCGCATGGCAATCCATTCATAGATACGCCAATAAAAACAAAAAGAATACATTACAGAGGAACCGACATTGACATCAAGGTCTCTCTGTACATGGATTCCACCAACCTCAACACACATCGTCATCATCATCAGCCAGGGCCGATCCACTGCTGGATTAAGGACTCCCCAAACCTCCTGCATCGTCAGCAGCAGACAGGGTCGATCCACTGCTGGATGAAGACTTCCACAAGCCGCCACCACCTCGTCACGATGCTGTGCTGTCAGGATGCGGCCCAGCCCCAAGCTGCTCCACATACGAGGAGCCGATTTCATCTTCGCTCCATCTCCTCCTCCTCCTCTTCCTCGGTGTCTCCTCCTCTCTAGGACGCTGCGTTCCATCACGTGGCTGCCTCGTAGCCGTGACGTGGGCGGTGCTGCCCGAAGCTCCAATCACTCACCTACTCACTCACCCACTCACTCACTCACCCACTCACTCACCCACACACTCACTCACCCACTCCCTCACTCACTCACCCACTCCCTCACTCACTCACCTACTCACTCACCCACTCACTCACCCACTCACCCACTCATCCACCCACTCACTCACTCACTCCCTCACTCACTCACTCACCCACTCATCCACTCACTCACTCACCCACTCACTCACTCACCCACTCACCCACTCCCTCACTCACCCACTCACCCACTCCCTCACTCACTCACTCACCCACTCATCCACTTACTCACCCACTCACTCACTCACCCACCCATTTATTCACTCACTCATCCACTCACCTACTCACTCATCCACTCACTTACTCACTCACTCACCCACCCACTCATTCACTCACTCATCCACTCACTCACCCACTCACTCACTCACCCCCTCACTCACTCACTCCTCACTCACCCACTCACCCACTCACTCACTCACCCACTCACCCACGCACTCACCCACTTACTCTCCCATTCACTCACTGGCCCAAACACTCACCCACCCACCCACTTACTCACCCACCCACTCACCCACTTACTCACCCACTCACCCCCTCTCGCACCCACTCACCCACTCACTCCTCACTCACCCACTTACTCACCCACTCACCCAGCCACTCACTCACCCACTAACTCACCCACCCACTCTCCTTAACACTCGGGGGCGATGTCACGAATCCGATTCTGTGTAAGGTCCGCTCTCGAGAGTTTACAGGGTGGAGCTCCTCCGCCTCCATTGCTGTTCATTAAACCGTGCCGGTCCTCTGATCCACGTGCTCCTTTCTCTCAATGTTGAACTTCTTTCGCACCGTGCGTAGCCAACCGCGCTCATCGGCGATGTAAATCCACGCGCGCGTATCTCGACTTATAAGCAGCAAAACTTTCCATCGACTTTCGCTTATTATTGTTGTTGTTTGTTGTTGTTGTTGCGTGTGGACAGTTTGAATGGTGCCGGCATTAACCCAGCGTGCACGCTCTCTCATCCACGTGTTCCCAACTCCCTGACGTCTCTCTCGCTCTCAACCCACACACACACACAGACGTGCGGCTGATGGTAGGGACAAAGACAAAGATCCCCCGTGTAGCCTCTAACGCTCTGTTAGGGCAAGTGCTGTTAGCGAGCAGCACCTATGAAGGTCGGCACGGCACACGACGGGGTGGGTTGGCCAGCACCACGCCCGGCCGCCTTTGTCTCCCCAGTGGCGATGTTTACCACACACCGCACCAGGTACTCATTTGAGGCCGAGTCGACCTAGGGGAGGCCCAGGACCGGTTCAGATAATCGCCACCGGTGTTGGGGCGTTGGCCGCGAGCGGGAATCGAACTCGGGTCGTAGCCGGGTTCGTCGCGTGCCGCGCTAACCGCTGCGCCACCGCTCCCCTGATGGGAGGGACGCACGACAACAACAACGACAACAACGACGACAACAACAACGACGACAACAACGGCGGCGGCACGGTGCCGCGCGGCTGCCCGCGGGGGTCGATGCAGCGCCAGGCGCCGCGCCAGGCGCCAGGCGCTGCCGCTGCTGCGCTCGCGTTTGGTTCGCTTTGTCGAGACGTGGTGGGGGTGAAAGCCACCGTCTTGCGGTGTCTGTGTGTGTGTGTGTCTGTGTGTGTGTCTGTGTGTGTGTGTCTGTGTCTGTGTGGTGTGTGTGTGTCTGTGTGTGTGTGTCTGTGTGTGTGTGTCTGTGTGTGTGTCTGTGTGGTGTGTGTGTGTGTCTGTGTGTGTGTGTCTGTGTGTGTGTCTGTGTGTGTGTGTAGTGTGTGTGTGTGGTGTGTGTGTGTGGTGTGTGTGTGTGTCTGTGTGTGGTGTGTGTGTCTGTGTGTGTCTGTGTGTGTGTGTCTGTGTGGTGTGTGTGTGTGTCTGTGTGTGTGTGTGTGTCTGTGTGTGTGTGTCTGTGTGGTGTGTGTGTGTGTCTGTGTGTGTGTCTGTGTGTGTGGTGTGTGTGTGTCTGTGTGTGTGTCTGTGTGTCTGTGTGTGTGTGTCTGTGTGTGTCTGTGTGTGTGTGTCTGTGTGGTGTGTGTGTGTGTCTGTGTGTGTGTCTGTGTGTGTGTGTGTCTGTGTGTGTGTGTCTGTGTGTGTGGTGTGTGTGTGTCTGTGTGTGTGTGTCTGTGTGGTGTGTGTGTGTGTCTGTGTGTGTGTCTGTGTGTGTGTGTGTCTGTGTGTGTCTGTGTGTGTGGTGTGTGTGTGTCTGTGTGTGTGTCTGTGTGTCTGTGTGTGTGTCTGTGTGTGTCTGTGTGTGTGTGTCTGTGTGTCTGTGTGTGTGTGTCTGTGTGTGTCTGTGTGTGTGTGTAGTGTGTGTGTCTGTGTGTGTGGTGTGTGTCTGTGTGTGTGTCTGTGTGTGTGTGGTGTGTGTCTGTGTGTGTCTGTGTCTGTGTGTCTGCGTGTGTGTGTCTGTGTGTGTGTCTGTGTGTGTGCGGTGTGTGTGGTGTGTGTGTTCTGTGTGTGTCTGTGTGTGTGCGGTGTGTGTGTGTCTGTGTGTGTGGTGTGTGTGTGCGGTGTGTGTCTGTGTGTGTGTCTGTGCGGTGTGTGTGTCTTTGTGTGTGGTGTGTGTGTGTGCGGTGTGTGTGTGTGTCTGTGTGTGTGTCTGTGTGTGCGGTGTGTGTCTGTGTGTGTGGTGTGTGTGTGTGTGCGGTGTGTGTGTGTGCGGATAGAATGCCCCCTGCCGTAGAGACCGGGGGCGGGGGAAAGGACGGCTACTAAAATGACAACAAGCAGAGACATTTGTTGTTGTTGTTCGAATTGGCTCCAAGTGAAACACCACCCCACCCGCGGCAATGTTCCAAGAGGCCGCGCAATGCACTGCTGCACGTGATGATGATGATGGTGGTGGTGTTGTATACGAGACGCCGGCTGGCTGTGGTGCTTCCTTCATCAGTGAATGAATGACGGTCACGGCGGGAGCTTGAGGAGCCACCGCCCACCGCCACGACCCAGCAGCGCGCGTTCTCTCGCCTTGCTCTGGAACAGAACCGCGTGCCTGACCTACCCAGCGACCTACCCACCCGTTCCCTTCTCCCTCTCTCTCTCTAATCAGCGAGAGAGCCACTCGCAGGCGTTAGCCGGTGGGGTAGTAGGGCGAGTCGCTGTGGTAGTTGTAGTCGGGGCACACCTTCTGCACGAGCCTGTAGTCCGTGCTGAAGAAGGCGACGTAGATGCAGATGACGCTGAACGGCTTCGAGCAGAGCCACGAGACGTGGGTCTGCGTCTGCTCCTGGTAGCAGTTCCTCGTCGGGTCGTAGTTGCAGAGCGACGTCCTCTTGGCCCGGTCCACCTTCTCGTACTCCACGCGGCAGTTGAACGTCTTCGAAGCCTTCGGGTCGACGAGGGTCGCCTGCTGCGTCGCGAGGTCGAAGCCCAGCGCCTTGGCAGGGGGCACCAGGCTGACCGACACGTTGCCGTGGCCTGTGGAGTTGTGGCGAAAGTAGACGCTGAACGTGCCGTTGCCGTGGTCGACGATCTTGCCCGTGATGAGCAGGTTCAGCTTGAGCGTCTTGATGTTCGAGTTGAAGTCGCCCCAGCCGAACATCTTCTTGAAGCGGCCCGTCTTTACCATGGGACGCCGCCGCGGACGCGAACGCGCCGGCCCGGGCTGCTCATGATGATGAAGGCGATGCTGTAGCTGCTGTAGCTGTTGTAGCTGTGGCTGCTGCTGATGCTGTAGCTGCAGCTGTAGCTGATGCTGTAGCTGTAGCTGTTGTGGCTGTAGCTGCTGCTGATGCTGTAGCTGCTGTAGCTGTTGTGGCTGTAGCTGCTGCTGATGCTGTAGCTGTGGCTGCAGCTGTAGCTGTTGTAGCTGCTGCTGCTGTAGCTGCTGTGACTGTAGCTGCGGCTGCAGCTGTAGCTGTTGTAGCTGCTGCTGCTGTAGCTGCTGTGGCTGCAGCTGTAGCTGTTGTAGCTGCTGCTGTCGCTGTGGCTGCTGCTGCTGCTGTGACTGTAGCTGCGGCTGCAACTGTAGCTGTTGTAGCTGCTGCTGTAGCTGCTGTGGCTGCAGCTGTAGCTGTTGTAGCTGCTGCTGTAGCTGTGGCTGCTGCTGTGACTGTAGCTGCGGCTGCAGCTGTAACTGTTGTAGTTGCTGCTGCTGCTGTAGCTGCTGCTGTAGCTGCTGTGGCTGCAGCTGTAGCTGTTGTAGCTGCTGCTGTAGCTGTGGCTGCTGCTGTGACTGTAGCTGCGGCTGCAACTGTAGCTGTTGTAGCTGCTGCTGTAGCTGCTGTGGCTGCAGCTGTAGCTGTTGTAGCTGCTGCTGTAGCTGTGGCTGCTGCTGTGACTGTAGCTGCGGCTGCAGCTGTAACTGTTGTAGTTGCTGGAGCTGCTGCTGTAGCTGCTGTGGTTGCTGCTGTAGCTGATGTAGCTGATGTAGCTGCTGCTGTTGGAAGTGTTCTTGAAGCAGTCGATGCTGCTGCTGATGACCATACTGAGTCAACTGCTGCCGCTGCTGCTGCTGCTGATGATGAGTGGAGGAGGAGGAGGAGGAGAGCCACCGCCAGAGCGGCCCTGTGGTGCGTGGGGGGACCTCCAAGGCGAGACGCCGCGCCCCAGACAGAAGGTTCGTCAGCTCAGGGCCCTGCGGACGGCGGAGAAGGGGATGATGATGAAGGGGATGATGATGATGATGCTGACCACCACCACCATCATAATCATCATAATCATCTTGATCTTGCTGGAGAAGATATCCCTGCTGCGGATGATAGTGCTGTTGATGTTGAAGATCAAGTTCAGGCTGTTCATGTTCCTGTTGCTCTCCCCGCTCATTCTGATTGAGCTGCTGCTGCTGCTGTAAACGTTGATCGTGACCATCAACATCGTCATCATGCTGTTGCTGCTGCTGCTGATGATGATGATGATGCCGATTCTGCTGCTTTGTATCGAGGAGGAGAGGATCGGAGGGACCGGCGCGGGCTCCTTCATCCTCCGGTTCGGCACTCGGAGCGGACTCGGCCCGCGAGGTGACGTAACCCCAGTCCGGTGGCGAACTCAGCCCACCACCCACCTGTGTATACGCAGACACGGCGCACGCATATATCATTGTTGTTCGCGCAGAATTAGTATTGTCATCGCCGTATGTGATATGTAGCAAGAAATGAAAAAAAATACACGTAAGTATCAAAACACAAATGTTTAACTTGCACAATAAAGTCATTGTACGTTTTCATTCGCGTATACAGCCAGATAATACGACTAATCGCTCACCTTAAACACCCGGTCGTTCATAAAAGTTTAAGGCAGTACAGTACTATAGTAATAGAGCGAGTGCAGAATCACTGAACCGGAATTGATAGCTTGAAAGCGTTTAGCGCGAGGCCCTTGAAAGTGCGGGGGCCGTAGCGTGTGTAGCTACTACACGTGTAGTAGTAGCTACTACACGTGTAGCTACTACACGTGTAGCTACTACACGTGTAGTAGCTACACGTGTAGTAGCTACACGTGTAGTAGCTACACGTGTAGCTACTAGGATCATCCGGCACTGATGTAACCGGTATCGGCCAAACACAATCCCATTGCTCACGCAATGTGGGACCACAGTGCAGTCCTCGCTTAGCGCGTTTGCCGGCGAGTGGAGTGTTCGCTACAACGCGATGGTTCTTACATTCGGGAACACTTTCCGCACTTCGCGGGAACGCTCGCGCTGTTATAACACGGAACGATCACCGTTATAACGTGGCACGGTCACCGTTATAACGTGGTAGGTCACCGTTATAACGTGGTAGGTCACCGTTATAACGTGGTAGGTCACCGTTATAACGTGGCACGGTCACCGTTATAACGTGGTAGGTCACCGTTATAACGTGGCACGGTCACCGTTATAACGTGGTAGGTCACCGTTATAACGTGGCACGGTCACCGTTATAACGTGGCACGGTCACCGTTATAACGTGGTAGGTCACCGTTATAACGTGGTAGGTCACCGTTATAACGTGGTAGGTCACCGTTATAACGTGGTAGGTCACCGTTATAACGTGGTAGGTCACCGTTATAACGTGGCACGGTCACCGTTATAACGTGGTAGGTCACCGTTATAACGTGGTAGGTCACCGTTATAACGTGGTAGGTCACCGTTATAACGTGGTAGGTCACCGTTATAACGTGGTACGCGCACCGTTATAACGTGGTACGGTCACCGTTATAACGTGGTAGGTCACCGTTATAACGTGGTATGGTCACCGTTATAACGTGGTACGGTCACTGTTATAACGTGGTAGGTCACCGTTATAACGTGGTAGGTCACCGTTATAACGTGGTACGCACACCGTTATAACGTGGTAGGTCACCGTTATAACGTGGTAGGTCACCGTTATAACGTGGTACGGTCACCGTTATAACGTGGTACGATCACCGTTATAACGCAGAACGCGCACCGACATAACGCGGTTTTTAAGCAATCGAGGACGAACTACTTTTTTGAGCTGCGAGGCAGAGTGGCGCAGTGATACAGCACGCGGAATGATACAGCGACACGGCGGCGTACCCTCACGTATTTGCCTCGCCATGTCACTGAGCGTAGTAGTAGTGGTGGTGACATCGTGTCGCGACAAACTATATCGTTCCATTATTCTAAGGGGAAGTCGATTTCGCTTTCGGCGGCACTTTTCAGGAACGCATCTGTCACCACTACTGCGTTAAACGAGGACTTACTGCACGCACACACACAGCAGCAGCAACAGCAGCAACATCGCCCAGCCCCTTGCAGTGAAAATCTGGGCAGGAATCCTCCTGAAAGAGGAGTCTTGACACTCAGGGAGGCTTTCCTACAGGGTACACAAGCGGGAAGAATAATGATCCTCTCCAATACTCCAATTGAAATGCTTTTCCCAGGTCTATTTGAAAATAACCATTTGTTTGAACGTTACCGGGTAAGGCACCACGTAGCTCTTTGTCAGAAGCGACCTGGCCACAAATGACAGCTCAGCGAAGTGGTGGCTTATCATCATCATCGTCGTCACGTGGACATTTACAGCAGCAGTGCCAAATACTCCACAACACGCGCGATGTTCAATTATTCAATGTGGAGGGGAAAAAACCCGGGGACCCGGAGAAATATCCACGCGACCGCGGCGAGAGAGAGAGAGAGGCGCAAACTCCAAACAAACAGACTTCAGAATCGGGACCGAACCCACGGCGGGCTGTACACCAAGAGAGGCAGTTAACATCTCCTAGCCACCGTGGGGACCAGCAAAGGAGCGGAGACGGATGCACGCGCGCTTGGAATTCCGCCGAGAGACGGGAGAATTCCCAAGGTGAAGCTTGGCTAAAGGGGAAGGTGTCCTTGTTGGTCTTCGGATTCGTGAGCTTCTTCGAGATGATGAATTTGGCAGTGCACTGCGTGGCAAGGAACAGACGGCATGGAGAGCCTTCCGCTTAGTGGCAACAACATTTCTCGGATAAAACTACAGGGGGTTGGGTGGAGAACCTCCTCAAGGCATTCAAAAGCCTTGGGTTGCAACATGTCACTCAAGATACATTTTTTTTGTACTCTCATCACCTCGATGTTCTCCCTCCGAACTGCGGAGCAGCGAGCGACAAGCATGGTGAGCGATGTCACCAGGACATCGCGACAATGGAGAGACGATATCAGGGCAAATGGAGCCCATCAATGCTCGCAGACTCTTGCTGGACAGTGACGAGAGATCATCCTTTTAATGAATACAAGAGACACGCCAAGAACCGCCTAGTAGTCACTGAATAAAGACTAAACTATGTACTTATATATTTATACATAATGGCGACCTGGGTTCGATTCCCGCTCACGGTCAAAATCAGTGACGATTATCTGAACCGGTCCTGGGCCTCGCCTAGGTCGACTCAGCCTCAAATGAGTACCTGGTGCGGTGTGTAAACATCGCCACTGGGGAGACAAAGGTGGCCGGGCGTGGTGTTGGCCACCCACGCCTTCGTGTGCCGTCCCGGCCTTCATAGGTGCTCGCGAAGAGCACTTGCCCCAACAGTCTGTTAAGGCTATAGGAGAATATTTGTCTTTGGCTTTTGTAGTGTATAGTAGTGTAGTGTATAGTGTAGTATGTGTAGTGTATAGTGTAGTATGTGTAGTGTATAGTAGTGTAGTGTATAGTGTAGTGTATAGTGTAGTATGTGTAGTGTATAGTGTAGTATGTGTAGTGTATAGTGTAGTATGTGTAGTGTATAGTGTAGTATGTGTAGTGTATAGTAGTGCATAGTAGTGTAGTGTATAGTGCAGTATGTGTAGTGTACAGTAGTGTAGTGTATAGTGTAGTGTATAGTAGTGTAGTGTATAGTGTAATGTATAGTAGTGTAGTGTATAGTAGTGTAGTGTATAGTGTAGTGTATAGTAGTCTAGTGTATAGTAGTCTAGTGTATAGTAGTGTAGTGTATAGTGCAGTGTATAGTAGTGTATAGTGTAGTGTATGTGCAGTGTATAGTAGTGTATAGTGTAGTGTATAGTGTATAGTGTAATGCATGTAGTGTATAGTAGTGTATAGTGTAGTGTATAGTAGTGTAGTATATAGTGTAGTGTATAGTAGTGTATAGTGTAGTGTATAGTGTATAGTGTAATGCATGTAGTGTATAGTATAGTGTGTAGTGTAGTGTATAGTGTAGTGTAAAGTGTAGTGTATAGTAGTGTAGTATATAGTGTAGTGGATAGTAGTGTAGGGTATAGTGTATTGTATAGTGTAATGCATGTAGTGTATAGTATAGTGTATAGTGTAGTGTATAGTAGTGTAGTATATAGTGTAGTGTATAGTAGTGTAGTGTATAGTGTAGTGTATAGTAGTGTATAGTGTAATGCATGTAGTGTATAGTATAGTGTAGTGTATAGTGTAGTGTATAGTGTAGTGTATAGTAGTGTAGTATATAGTGTAGTGTATAGTAGTGTAGTGTATAGTGTAGTGTGATGTGCAGTATGTACGTCGCACCGTACGAGCCAACCGCTCTAATCGGTGTTGACACTGGCACTAAAGGTGTTGACACTGGCACTAAAGGTGTTGACACTAAAGGTATTGACACTAAAGGTGTTGACACTGGCACTAAAGGTGTTGACACTGGCACTAAAGGTGTTGACACTAAAGGTATTGACACTAAAGGTGTTGACACTGACACTAAAGGTGTTGACACTGTCAATAAAGGTGTTGACACTGACACTAAAGGTGTTGACACTGACACTAAAGGTGTTGACACTGACACTAAAGGTGTTGACACTGGCACTAAAGGTGTTGACACTGGCACTAAAGGTGTTGACACTAAAGGTGTTGACACTAAAGGTGTTGACACTGGCACTAAAGGTGTTGACACTGGCACTAAAGGTGTTGACACTGGCACTAAAGGTGTTGACACTAAAGGTGTTGACACTGGCACTAAAGGTGTTGACACTAAAGGTGTTGACACTGGCACTAAAGGTGTTGACACTGGCACTAAAGGTGTTGACACTGGCACTAAAGGTGTTGGCACTAAAGGTGTTGACACTGGCACTAAAGGTGTTGACACTGGCACTAAAGGTGTTGGCACTAAAGGTGTTGACACTGGCACTAAAGGTGTTGACACTGGCACTAAAGGTGTTGACACTAAAGGTGTTGACACTAAAGGTGTTGACACTGGCACTAAAGGTGTTGACAGTGGCACTAAAGGTGTTGACACTGGCACTAAAGGTGTTGACACTAATCGGTGTTGACACTGGCACTAAAGGTGTTGACACTAAAGGTGTTGACACTGGCACTAAAGGTGTTGACACTGGCACTAAAGGTGTTGACACTGGCACTAAAGGTGTTGACACTTTCACTAAAGGTGTTGACACTGGCACTAAAGGTGTTGACACTAAAGGTGTTCACACTAAAGGTGTTCACACTAAAGGTGTTGACACTGACACTAAAGGTGTTGACACTGGCACTAAAGGTGTTGACACTAATCGGTGTTGACACTGACCCTAAAGGTGTTGCCACTAAAGGTGTTGACACTAAAGGTGTTGACACTGGCACTAAAGGTGTTGACACTAAAGGTGTTGACACTGGCACTAAAGGTGTT